GAAAAATATATTATTAATCAAGACTTTGGGTATGAATGAATCAGTAAATAACATAACTGAGTAAAATTAACAATAAACACGTAAATTATGACCTAAATGAACAAACTAAAATGAAAATAATAAAGGAAACTTGAATAACCTTGGCTTTAACTGAATTTAACTAAACTAAACCTCGTTTTAGGTTTTTGAGAAAAATATGTATTTTATGTTTTTTGTTATTTTTAAATAGCATAATGCACTTTGATGCCTCTGTGTGTTCTTTGAGTTTTTTTTTTTTTTTTATTTCTGCCAGTTGGAAGCCAATTTTCCTTTGGAATATCAGTAAAAACTGAACTGAACCTATTATTTTTATACTTTAGGACAAAATAAAAGACCATATTCAATAGGAAAAACACTGTAAAATACTGTATTTATTGTAGTTTATACCAACTTTAAATAAAAAGTACAACTGATAAATGCAGGCTGATTTAGTCTGAAAGAACTTCAAATGTAACCCTGGTGGATTTGAGAGAAAGATCATACTTCAAGGCTAAAAGTTGTATTATTGAAGAGGCCAATATGATCTAATCGTCACGTTCCACTCTTCGTATTACTGAGCACACATTTGCAAATAAATTGACAGAAAAAATAAACTGCTAAATCTAGTATTTTCTGAGTATTTAAAAAATGTAATCTCACGTTAGCTTGGGTCAAATATTCAGAGAGACGCTGCAGAGGGACCAAAGGTGGCGGACCTCTGGTGTGGGTGACGGGACCCCTTGATTTGTTTCGCTCTGAATCAAACCGTTTGGTGAGTGTCTTTGTGTTTCTGTGTTTGAATGTGTCAGAGCCTTGATGGATATATTGGGTAGACGCAGACAGAGTGTTTTCAGCCTGCCAGCAGGCGGTGTGACCGGACCCAGCGGGCCTACGTGCAGCTCAGGGTGCCACCGAAGCGGCTAAAAACTCTTTGCTGTTTGTTTTCTTTGCTGTTTGACCGGTTTACATGAGGACCGGTTCAAAGAGTCGATCTTTATCTCCTGTTTCCTTGGCAAAATCTGCCCCCACAGAGCTTTTAGAGTGGAATGGAAAGTTTAGTTTTAGTGAGGGAAAAATGGAAGTTTTTGTTTACTTTGAAGTCGTACTCACATGGGGGTCATTATGTGCTATCAGGTCAGACACTATCTGTTCTGACTGGCAAATGTTGTGCAAAACAATCTGAGGCTGGCTTAAAAAAACATTTTTGTTAGTCTTGGAAACTACTCTTTCTTAATGTTTGAACCTTTATTCTGATTAGACAGGGGGGAAAAGGCCATTAAAAGTGGCAGGTAAACAACTGTGTGTGTTTTTGTTTATTTTTAGATTTGGGTTTTCAAACTTTTTATTGCTCACCACCAAAAGGCTCACAAATGTGTCCCAAACTGGAATACTAAGTGAATAGGATATTATACTTGTATGTGTGTCTACTGTATGTGTGTTAGCAAAATATCATAAGAACATCTGGATTGGTTTAACTGAACTTTTCAAAAGTAATCATTAGCTGTACATCTACTGTATACTGTAAGTGATTACTTTGGAACTCAACGCAATTAAAGATGGCCACACAAGAATACAAAAAAAAAAATGGCTATAGCACAACATATATATTTTTGCATACTGAGCTGCAGTTTGGTGTGGTAGTAGCTGAGTGTCATTCATAACACATTCTCTAAGCGTTAACAGAACATAATGTGATTTACAATGACAAGCCCCTTTGGACTCCAGAGCTTGTTGCACTTCATTAATTCACACGTTCACACACTGATGGAGGTCAGCTACATTGTAGCCACAGCTGCCCTGAGGCACACTGACAGAGGCGAGGCTGCCATGCTCCGGCACCACCGGACCCTCAGACCACCAACCGCAAGCAAGGATGAAGTATCTTGCCCAAGAAGTCAACGACTGAGACAGATGGAATGGGGATCAAACCAGCAACCCACTGGTTATAGGACAACTCCCTTAACCACTCTCACAACGTCCCTAAACCTGGACCATAAAATTATACCTGGACCATAGAAACTACATATGGACCATAGAAACTACATATGGACCATAGAAACTACATATGGACCATATAAACCACATATGGACCATAGAAACTACATACGGATCATAGAAACTACATATGGACCATAGAAACTACATATGGACCATATAAACCACATATGGACCATAGAAACTACATACGGA